GAGAGAGAGAGAGAGAGAGAGAGAGAATGGAAATCGGGCTGCCTGGAAACAGAGACAAGGGTCACACACACACACACACACACACACACACACACACACACACACACACACACAAGCACATGTACACGCTCACACACGCACAGAGCGTGGAAGATTCGGCAGGAAGATATATATTTTTAAATATAATAATAATAAAAATACCTGTATGAGCTTGTCCATAGCCAAGCGACCAGCCTGCTCAGTTCTTCGCAGCTCCATGATGTCCATGCCTGCCGCATCGGCCACCTGTTGCTCTGTGGGCTCAGATCCCAGCTGCGCCTGAAGGTCTCTCCTCAAGATCCGCAAAGGCTGCACGCAGCGCAGAGATGTAACACACGCGGAAATCAGCCTCATCGCCCGGCCCCCCCCCACGCCCCTCCAAAAAAAAGAAAAGAAAAGAGTCATCGTCTAGGCTCAGTAGGTTGTAGCCCGAGGTCCACGGCTTGAGCTCTACGGTAGTCTCGGCTCCCAAAAGCCCCCGGGCCTTTGTTTCACTGATTTGGCAGGCGGGGGGGTTGTGGGTAGGAGGGGGGAGGAAGCGGAGCGCAGAGGGTAAGCCCACACGATAATTATTAAGTTAACTATTGTATCTACATGTGATTACCGCAGGATTCGAACTCATGACCTGTTCAGTAACTACTGTGAAGGCGCCTTTGCAACCCGCGGGCAAGTTGCCCCGCCTTGGGAGTGACCAGGTTAAATAGCGGTGGTGGGCTGCATGTTATCCGAGCGGAGTGTGTTGATTGCCTCGTGTCCGTGGTGTGGGGTTGTTTGTGTGTGGTGTGAGTTCAAGGACGCTACAGCCCTGGGGTGGGCTGGATATCACGACCGGTATGGATCCAATTGTGTTTTATAAGACCTCCAAGGGTTATAGTTGTTAGGAGACTTCGATCTTAGACTTCGTTCTTGAGGCTGAGGGTGCTGGTTCGAGGCCGTGCATGCACGGCCATGCCTGATGTTCGAAACGCATGTTGTTCAGTAACTACTGTTCACTAACCAACCAGCAGTCACATGTGTGTACAATTCAGCCACACAATGTAGCCTCCCCTCTCACCTCCACCCCCCCACCCCATCCCCCCTCAGGCTGTTCAATTCTTAGAAGCTATATTCGCAGATTGGGTTTTGGATTAGAAGTCATATTTTTTTCAATCCAATCGTTAGACACCCACTGAGCTGGGCTTATTCTTGAGGCTTCCTAGCTTCCTAACTGAATTTTACTGCTTTCAATGACTAGGTTCCTAACTCCATGTTACTATAAGAATAAGCTTTGCAGGGAAAGGTCCAGATTCATTTCAGCGTCGAAACCACTAGCTGAGTGTTGATCCTGTAACACGCGTGCGCGCTGTGTCTTCGTTGAACATGCTTATTTATTGATTGATTGTTTGTTTAGGGCAGATGCAGAAGTTCGGGGCATTTCAGCATACCCCTGTGTTTTACGGGTATCTCACGAAATACCCGAACTTTTAGGGGTATTTCAACAATTTTCCATATTTTTTATTACCTATTTAATCTTTATTATTATTATTTTTTTTTTTTTTTTTTTTTTTTTTTTTTTTTTTTTTTTTTTTTTCCCTAATTTTTTTTTTTTTTTTTTTACGTACTCTTTTTTTTTTTTTTTTTTTCACCTATTTAATAATACAGTATTTATTTACTTATGTTATGAGTAGTTATTACTTATATTTAGTATAGTATTTACTTACTTTCTTGTTATTGGAAAGCTCAGCAGTACGAGCCGTATGCAATGACGAAAGAACTGAGCACCGTGTTGAAAATGGAGCCGATTCATACTGTCACACCCACCCACCTCCTGTTGATGGTACACGCCTGCATGCAGGCAGGCAGGCGCTCACGCACGTGCGCTTGGATGCACCATTCATGCATGCATGCATGCGCTCATGCACGTCTGCACGGATGCACCATTTATGCATGCATGCATGCGCACCCATTCATGCACCGAGTCCTGCATGCATGCGTGCGCTCATCCATGTCTGCACGGATGCAACCGTTCATGCCCAAAGTCATGCATGCATGCACGTCTGCACGGACGTCGGATGCACCGATTCATGCATGCATGCAAGTTTTCATCCACGTCCCCACGCATGCACCTATTCATGCATGCATGCGCTCATGCATGTCTGCACGCATGCACCCATTCATGAATGCATGCATGCGCTCATGCACGTCTGCACCCATGCACCCATTCATGCACCTAGGCATGCATGCATGCATGCGCTCATGCACGTACGCATGGATGCACCCATTCATGCACCGAGGCATGCATACGCTCACGCACCTCGGCACCGATGCACACATTCATGCACCCACTGCCACCCAGGCATGCATGCATGCACGTGAGAAAGAGCGAGTACGTCGGGCCGTTTGCCACGTTTGCCGGCGAGGACAACGCTTCACACATAGAGCTGCACACCCGTAAGTAAATAAAAGCACGCTAACGGACAATCAGACTAATTGGGTGTAACAGAATGTGAAACCTTCAGGAAAAAGCTTTTCGAAGAATATCAACGCAACATAAGAAGCAAAACATAATAGCCAAAGTTCCACCGTCACCCTACCCACCTGTATTGTAACCTAGCAGCTATGGATCCGTACATTTGGGCCTCAGCCCTCCTCCGTGCAAGCACGGATTCAAACCGGCAATCTCGTCCTCAAGACCATATCCATCCAGCACATAGGTAGTTGGATGAAACGAAAAAAGAAAAGAAAAAAGAGGTAGAGTGAGGGGCCCCGACCGGTTATTTTGCCGATTGCATGTCCCAGTCGGGATCATCAGGGGGATTCTCCCGTCCCGACATGGTCGTTTCCTCTTCTCTTTTACGATGTTATTTTTCGCTTACTACGTTCGGGGAAGCTATTCGACTCAATTTTTTTTTATATGCAGAAACGGTTGGAATTGGCCTTATTTTTAGAACCAATAACGTTATAAATAAATACAGCCTAATACAGGAATATTCTTACAATTCCTTAGTTAAAAAAAAAAAAAAAAAAGCGTTCTACTAGGTTCGATTGGATTCCATTGGATGGTTTTGTTTCTTTCTTTTTTTTTTGGTCAATCATAAAATTACACTATCCCCATTCTCACCGGCAGCTCATCGCCATCGCCAGTTTTCCATGGCACGTATCGTATCTCACGAAACCTGAGCAAACAGGTTGAGGGCAGTCAAACTTTTTTGGTTGTTTTTATTGGTGTGTGTGTGTGTGTGGAGAGAGAGAGAGAGAGAGAGAGAGAGAGAGAGAGAGAGAGCACCCAAAACAAAAGAAAACGGAAATTGCCTTCTCAAGTTAACTAATCGTTTGGCCGAGAATCCCGAGATTCCCCCATAGACGTGCCACGTGGGTTGCCGACCGATTGCCACGTGGACTGCCAATCAAACAAAAGAAAGCGCGCTGAAAGGCATTCCACGATGCAGACCCCAAATCGAATTTCAGGATCAAGGTCTCAAGCCAAGGGAGGCCACGTCGGCCAGTTCAGAAAGGTCACAGTCTTGAGGTACCTTTAGGAGTCAAGTAGGGGCCTTTAGGAGTCGAGTCCAACAGGCACCCGGTAAACAGTCACATCCCAAAGGCAAAAGTTGCATTCTGTAAGCAAAAGTCACGTCTCATATTGAAAAGTCATATTGAAAAGTCACGTCCCACACGGGAAGGGGACACTTCTCCAGGCAAAAGTCATGTCCCAGAGGCAAGACTCACATCCCACACTGAGTCAAAAGTCATGTTCCACAGATGAAAAGTCGTGACTCACTGTCACTCACATACTTAAGCAGCAGCACACCAATGAAAATTCCGGAAAAGTACACCAGGCCTTGACATTCTGAAGCAAGCAGGCCCTGGGCATGTGGTACCAGTACCAAGTCGAGCCAAAGGAAGCAGAGGCCGGGACGAGTTGAGGCTCAGTCCAAGTCAATATAAGGACTGGCCAGCCACAGTTCGGGGAGGTTGCTCATTCGTGAGAAGTGTGGAAGTGCTGCTGAAGCGTTTGTGCGCGCTCTCTGCGAGTAGCATGCGCGCGAGACCCCTGCTGGGCAGTGCTGCACTGAGAGGGAAGGCGGCCATATCCGCATAAGTTAGTAGTAGGGATAGAGCTGAGTAGCAGCGGATGTATTCAGAGTCAAGAACTCAAGTACAGACACAGAGAGAGAGAGAGAGAGAGAGAGAGAGAGAGAGAGAGAGAGAGAGAGAGAGAGAGAGAGAGAGAGAG